ATGCGCTTTCAGAATATATACTTACTTTTGTAATAACTTGTTCCTATATTAAAAATATATTTGAAAAATAAATGAAAATAAACAAAAAAACATTTTTCCGGGCAATATGAAGATGAGGGGGCCTTTACTGGGCTTGAATTTATTTTTATCAAACAAGTGCAATTCAAAACGTACATATATAGATTTGTAGAGAATTTCACGGGCTACCCGAATATATAATTACGTTACTCAAAATGTTAATTTATAATGATGATATATCAAGAATATCGTGTGACACTATTTTTTTCCAGGAGGATATATACATCTTAATACCATTATTATTAACATTGGAATAAAATTGACTATTCTTTTTTCAATATGATTGCCGATTGTTGTATATCTCATCTTTTGTTTATATTTTTTTTTTGTCATTTTGTTTTTATGAGCAATGATGAAAAGACGATTTGATAATAAAACATGAGAGTCTAGGAAAGAAGCACACGAGGAAAATTGCGCGCGGGAATCTTGCGCACGGATATTTTGCGCACGTAATATTGATATCTCGTTTTCATATGAATAAAAGTCAATTGAACAAATTAGCAGAAATAATTTATTTTTGAAGATTAATTGTAATATTAATAATTAGAAGTACAGTATAAAAAAGAGCTATTGTTCACTACTGTACAAATACAATATCACTATTTAGTGTTTCTATTCCTAATGAAAATACTTAATCTAAAGTTATATTATGTGCTAGCGCACTTATATAAGAAATAAATTGTTCTGACTTTCCCTGTCCATGTGTGTCCTTTTATTTGGGACGTTATTTTTCAAAAATGAGCTTAGCTTGATTGGATTAAAGTATTAAAAGGCTTAAACGTGTATTAGTTACAATTCGAAAATTTTTGAATTAGACTATGTTCCATTTTTGATTTATCTCTAGATTCAGTATATTAAGCTTGAATTCAACAGAGCTAGATATTTTTGCACTTCTCTTCGCCTTTTAAACATTGTTCATGCAAAGCTAATAGTCTGATATTTCGTGCTCACAGCATCTGTGCGCAAGTTTCCGTGCGCATCTTTCTGGATCCCAAAACATGAACAAGCATAACTTATACTAGAAAAGCAGAGTACTGAAAACTAATTTTCGATTTTGCATATCCTTTTAAGTCGGTAAACTTACCAAGGAACAATAGACACTATCACGCAAAACTGCATCATACTCTCGAGATCTTATTCACAAAATTAAAATGTTCCATGACTTGCAGACATCAGGAATATCTTTTCTAGAACCTCACTCCAAGTTTTAATTATACTTGGTCAAGAATTGAAATTCTTCAAACTATATTTCTAAATACTTTTCTTAGGATCCAATGAGAAAACTTTAATTCCTAATCTGTCTGAATCTATGCTGTGAAGAGTAGAATTTAACTTCATCGTTTCTCCACATGTTTTCCAGTATCTAGAACGCATTTGACGTAGTCAATTATACGGTATACTGTCCACTTTGCCGGAATTTCACCGGTTCAAGAGCATTCTGTAACCGGTTCGGACCGGTTTGGATTTTTGTCCGTCCGGACCGGATCGGTTTTTCGATTTCTTACCGGTTCCAGCTCTGATTCTTAAGACAGTAAACCAAATTATTTTTACAATAATACATTATTTTAAGGTTTAATTGTTTCGGTTATCATTCAAGTGAATACTTGTCATCATAGCTTACTGATAATCTTTTTAGAACTGCAAAATACAACCATTCGAATTGATGAACAAGTTAGCTATTTAACGCTGTGTTTGTTTTTAATCGATTTTCGTAACTCATTGTTGATCAAATGAAATTTATTTGATGACATCAACTTTTTCAACTGCAAGGCACGCAATAAAAGTTTGTTTTTTTATTCATAAACTTTCAAAGTTATTTATAGAATCGATTTCAATTGAATAATTATTTATTGTAACAAGCGCCGCATTTTTCTTATAAAGATGGTAGAGTACTTTTATATGAGATATGACAGTTACTTTACCGGTTTCTTTCTTTTTTACTAGATTTTATGTGTGTAGTAGTCATAGAAATATAAACACACGGAAAATAAAAAGGAAAATAAAGGAATATTCATTCGTCTATTTTGTCGCCTCTTGTGAAAAGGAATCATGCTTACTCTTCCACAAGCCTTTTTTCCTTTTTCCGGACAACCTTTATAACTTTTTGAGAGGAAAAAAATATCTTATTCGATGTGCATGACTTTTTCTCTGTTCTTTCTTTGATTTATTTATAAAATCTATTGTAGAATTCTTTTCTACTGAATTTGTGACGGATACACACTCAATTTTTTAGCTTCAGTTTTCAAAAAAAAGGAACCATGAACCATGCACAAGGAACTTTACAAGTAACAATTGTTGAAGCTCGTAAATTAAAAGACACAGATATTGTTGGTAAAGATGATGCTTATGTTGAACTTTATTTGGATAAAGATTATAAACAACGAACAAAAACAAGTAAAGATACCAATAATCCAACATGGAATGAAACATTTTCTTTGTAAGCTTTATATAAGATTTCTATACATTGTGTATATTATATTATTTAGTAATTTGCACAAACATCAAGATGAATTACATATACATGTTTATGATGAAGATATAGCTGGACGAGATTCAATAGGTTCAGCAACGATCAATTTAAAGAAACATGTTTTTGGTAAAGGTCGTTATGATGAATGGGTCAAATTACCAGCTCATTTAGGTCTTGGTTCACATGGAGAAGTTCATGTTATTATTGAGCATCGAGTAAGAAAGACCTTCATCTTTATAAAAATTTAAGCTGATTATCTGTTTTTTTTTCTGTTTTAGCCATAGAATAAATTTATTAATAAACCAGCTTCAATTAAAAAACGTTCTTTTATTCAATTTTTTGTTGTATCTTTTGTCATTTAATAAATCGAACCCATTAGCAAATAATTGTAATAAACAGTGGAATCTTATATAATTAACTACTACTTATATATAATATTCGATTGAATTTTCTAATTTCTTGTTTCAGCAAGAATTGTTTGGAGGAGAAGAACAAAACAGTAATTTCATTTTTGTATGAACAATTCTGTTGTCTGACAAGAGATAATTGCGAGACTTGTTTACTACTTTGTTATCTTCCTACATTTAAGTTTTTGTCAATAGATATAATAAAATTCTATTCAACATAAAGACTTTCCAATTGTCTCTTTTACGAGACGATTACAGTTGAAAGTCTCTATGCTCTTTGTATAGAGGACAGCGCCTTAATATAAATCTTTTGTTTATAAGATCAAGACTAATACGACTTACTTTAGATCATTAAGACGTGCCAATGATTGACAACAAAAATCGAAAATGACAGAAAGTATATAGTATTTAGAGGTATAAGCTGATCGACTGAACCAATGTGGTCGTCGACGGCTCCGAAATTTTAATAATATCTTGCTTGCTGCTACCAATGCTCTAGCAGTCCAGTCACTTCACCGTCATTTTTCTGAATAGTTGCTGTAAATTTCAATCGACACCGCTATAACATTAGTATAGATTTTAAATTTTTGACAATTTTCAATACTCAAGAACAATTTTAAAGAATACACGCGTCCAGTTTCTTATCAGTATGTTCTCTATTATCATTTTTTTCTCCTTCATTTCAAAATTTCTCAAAACGAAGAAAATTTAAAAAAGAAAGCATCGAATACTTTCCGTCGCCACCGATTAGTGCATCGGCTTACACTTCAAATAATGACATTAGACATTCATAAAAAATCCACCGTGATACAAATAGGAGTCACTTCTCTACAGTCTGACTCTTCACAACATTACTCTACATATAGTGTTTTCGACGCTTGTATTAAAGTATATTCGATTGATTCGTAGGACCATAACTGTAAAAATAAATGTCCCAGATGATTAACAACGGATTAATAAATGTGATTTGTTCTTGATATTGAAAATGAAATTTCGTATATTAATTGAATGTTACAAAGTAAAAACAGTTCTGTTTGCTGCTATTTTTGTAAATTACCGACAAGTTCTTTGTTGTACCAAACAATTCCAATAAATAATCATTACAGTTTTTTTCATTTAAGAGTCGAATGCATTCTGTACATTTTTACGATTGTTTAGAATCTCGAATGAAATAAGATTTCTTCCCTCATATGTGATTATTATTGATAGAGCATCACTCGACTATCAGTGAGTCAAGAAAACTTTTAAAAAACTTTGTAAAATTAATTTTGAACAGACAAATACTTGGAAAAATGCGATTTAATACTAAATCACACTTTTCTTTCAATTTAAGCAGATAAAAAATGCAAGAGAATTTATATTTTAAAACATTGATGGACATAAAAGAGATCGGTTTATATAATGACCAACACAAAATGACTAATAGGGTTTGGTTCCGTTTCATCGATACTTGTTATTTAGCAGTATTTTATGACGAAAAAAAAACAGATACAACTTTGTATTAGAGAAAATAATTGTATTAATACAAATGAGAACATAACTGAATAGTTCATAAGATAGTGGCAACAAAATATTAATGTATTGTTTTGTCGATTGTTTCACCAATCTTATTAAAATATTTATCTAATGACAAACAACCTTTTTCATAGCGTTTCATGAAATCAAGAATTCGTTGATTCCGAAGAATAATGTTTTTATTTCGTAAAGGCTTGTTCATATTGTAGGCAACTTGTTTCACAGTGAACATGTTGAACGTATAATCTTTCTTTAATTGATCAATCACTACATACAAGTTTGGATTGAAAACGGCAATATTTGCATTAAGTTAGTGGTACCAACCCTCAAATGCAAGTGTGTACTGGAGTAGAAAAACTCAATACTTTCATGCACAACCATACCTGCTAATCGAAAGCGTTTTTCTATTCTTTTTACTGATTGTAACGTTCGTTTATTAAAAATATCGGATAGTGTCATTACTGTTTAGTTTATTTCTTTCTCTCCAAGGCAAGATTGTTTCAGTACAGTTCTGAAATTGTTCAGAAAAATGTATGTCGACAAAATGGACTAGCTAAGAGGGTCTAGATGAAACGAGAAGATATCAATTAATAGTATGTTCTTTGAAATTGTAGTGCTCTAAAACTCAACTTCTTCTCTTCTGTGCTGTGTTAGTAAATGAATGAAAACTACGATTGAATTCTTAATTACATTTTGCACGTGTCTATCTTTTTGAAGATTTACACAATGAACTTTAACATGATACACTAACTCAAATGCCCGTTGTGTTCGATAAAGACAAAATAAAAAGATAGATATAGTGAAAATGAAGATGACTGAAACTAAAAAAAGAGTTTACATCTTTCTAAAAAGTCATTTCGATTAAATTAAAGCTTATACATATTTTTAGTTTAATCTTTTAATATATAGGGTGTTTAGAAAGTAACTTAGCAAAGAAAATTTTGAATATCTCCGCCATATTTCGACCATGTGGAATGAGATTTTTACCACTGACAACGTGTTTTCATTTCATATTTATAAGAGAATCGTTCTCAAAAATTGTTTTAAAATAATACGGTTGACTTTAACAAAGATCAATAGCATTTCACGAATTATAAAAAATTAATATTGTAGTGTTGTTAACAGATTCTTGCTGCTAATGGCTGGAGCTTTCAAGGTGCACTAAGTAGCTAAGCATGCGTCTGTAGTATCAATATGAGTCCGGGCGACACTAGTGTAAACAATTAACCGAAAAAGTTAGATATTATTTATTCTTGACTAAAGGAATAAATATATATCGTTTTTTTATAGTTTGTGAAAGGTTACTGTTCTTTGCTACAGTCAATTGTAAATACTTGAAAACGATTTTTAACAATGTTTCTCTTTTGAATATAACTTATGAACATTACTTTATCAGTAATAAAAATATCAACACGAATAGTCGAAATATGGCGAAGATATTAAAATTTTTCTTCGTTGAATATCTTTCTGGATACTACATATATGGGGGTGAGCAGTGTGACCGGAGGCCCCAATTCTTTTTTTGTCGCCCTGCTTCTATAGAATTTCAGAAAAATGATTTTTTTACCAGTTATACTACTCGTATAATGCTGATGATCTGCCAAGTATAAGACGTCCATTCCTTGTCTAAAAGCAAAATAATCACAGTCATCAAGAAAAATGTTTTGCTCTTGATGAACAGATTTTTCGAAGACTTTAATTATTTTGGTTTTTAACAAAGTATGAGCGTCTTATATTTGGCAGATCATCAGCATTATACGAGTAATATAACTGGTAAAAAAATCATATTTTTCTGAGATACTATAGAAGTAGAACGACAAGAAAAGAATTGGGACCTCCGGCCAGACTGTTCACCTCCATATATATAATTATAAATGTTTATATTATAAATAAAATCCAAATGGTTTATGCGAGTGAACTACACAAAAGATCTCAATATATTAACCAACAGCTGGGGAGACATTTTTCAGCATTGTAGAGCATGAAATACGCACAATACAAGTTCTTGTTCTGTTCTCTTCTTTCTTCCACATATATTCATACATAATAATCCATCATACGATGCCAGCATCAATATTTATATTCGTCTTTTCTTTCTTTGTCATACCCAACCGCTTTTTTTCTCTCTCTCTTTCTCCAGTTGGCATTTGTATAAGAGAAGAACAAGTAATTTTTTTCTATGTGAATGCTTTAATGTATATGTATTAACATCTGCGTTTTTTTGTTCGATGAAATTTTTTCGTATTATTTTTTATCCATTATATCATCGGCGACGTCGAAAATATTATTTATTTTTACTTATATTAATTATTTTAATAGTATCTTCATATACATGTTATTGGTGTAATGAAATAAATTCTTATAATCATGATATTGAAAAATTTGAAAAAGAACCCGGAGAGTTTCGAAAACACACTCGGAATGATAGTCTTGAAAAAAATCATCCAATCCTTCTGAAATTTATTCAAGATCCATATAATATAAATGTATGGGGTATTATCACTGAAGCTAATAGAAAATATCAACAAAATAAAAATAAATATCTTGTTTATTCTTGTCCATTCATGTGTGGAGGTAAGAATTTGACTTTTTTTCAATAATAAAAAAAAAATTTTAATAAATTAGGCTGGGGTGATCGAACTCGTAAAATTGTTGCAAGTTTTTTACTTTCACTTGCTTTGAATCGTACATTTATTATTGATATGACATGGCCATGTTCAATTGAACGCATATTAACTTCAAATTTTATTTCTTGGTCTATATCGTCACACAGTCATATTAGAAATATTTCATCGTCAATTAATATTACTTCATTATCTTCCAAAAATTACAAAATATTAAAATCATATCATGAAGAATATTCTGTACTCTATATTCAAACAAACAATATTGCATATTTTGATATAGTAGCTCGCTATCCGGAATTTTATAAATCGTTATTTAATCGTTTTAGACTCAAACAGAAACATATTGATATTATTACATTATATCCTTTATTTTATGAATTACTTATTAAATTACAACCACATTTACAAGAAAAATTTGATCGACTGAATTTGAATAAGTATCCACTAGGTAAGCAGAAAATATCAAAATCAATTTTATCAGAAAATAAAATCTCTTTGGATTAAAATCTCAAAGATATTTTATGCTGAAGTAATATTTTATTATTAATAATGATAAACTAATCATAACATTTTCTTTAAAAATAATTGAACTAAATTGCATATTTTGTGTAGAGACAAACATAGACAAAGGTCCGTTATTGTGTGGCCATTTACGTATTGGTCGTAATCCATCAAATCCAAAAGATATGGTATTTCCTCGTCGTGAACGTATGAATATAACTGTTTTAAAATTTCTACTTGAACGTCCTGGTCGTGTATTTATTACTACTGATTCTGCTGAAGTTCAACAATTGGCTCGAAAATTATTTTCAA